ATGTCCATTAACGTTTTCATAAACCCGACGATGCCTCTCCTTTCAAATTTCCCAGAAAATCATAATTGGAATAACATCGAATAAGCAAATTGTAAGAGTTCTTCTTGAATGCCCTTGAAAGCCTAAATAATCGTACAATAGGAGACTCTTGAATTATAGAGAAAATAAAAAATACCTGCAAATTTCATCCATATCTAAATCGTAAAATCACACATACATATATTAGTAATCAACGACGTGCGTTTAAGGATGTCAAATGTGTCCGGTTAAACGGGTGATGAATGAAAAAAATGTAAACACATACACGACCCGTTTAATAAACCATTGAAAAATCTCAACACGAACATTAATCGTTTAATAAACAGGTAACACGACACGACTCGTTTAACCTCCTTAATTTTAATTTATAATTAGTTTATTATTATATTTTTGTGGCTGTCACTAAATTAAAAAAAAAAAAAAATTTCTGTGGCTATGACTAAAAATAATATATATATATGTTATGTGGTTGTCACTAAAAAAAAAATCTGCCTAATTTTTTAAAATAATAATTAATTAATTATTATATTAATTTTATTTAAACGGATAAACGAGTGATAAATGAGTTGACATGACTCACCCGAATACGACCCGTTTATTAAACTTGTCTAACGGATCAACCCATTTACCACCCAAATTTGTTAAGGTCTCATCCAAACCCGCTTAATTCGTGTCGGTTAATCGTGTCGTGTCAGACTTTGACGGGCCTACGTGCGTTACACGTAAATAAATTTAAATAATATTTTTTTTAAAAAAAATGTGAATTATATGTATAATTAAATTAAATAATAAATTAGGTGTTGAATAATTAATCTGTATTTTAATTATTGCTGAATTTAATTATTACATTATTTTATAAGACTTCTGATCCCTTTAAGCATTTGCACATCTAATTATATTAAAAAATTATTAATTTGTATTTTATTTAATAGATTAATTAGATCACTTATAATATTATTATATTATTGCATGCTAAAAAATAAAATATAACATATATTTGACTATAGAATTCAATCTGATAACTACATATAATTTAACATGTATATGACTTTACTTATTCATATAGATATAGAAAATTGTATGTACCTGTACTACTAATAAATAAGATCAAAAGAATTTAGAAGTCTTTAAAAAATAGTCCAAAATAAGTTAAAAGTTAAATAGAAGTGAAAAACAAAAATTAGATGGAAATATATAAGTCGGTATAATTGAGTTTATTATAATAATTAGAGATAAAATATAAAATCAAAATTTTTTCGAAGACTCATGAAAAATAATAATTAAATGGTTATAATTGACTTTATATATGAAAATTTGTGTCGACTCATGAGGACCTTCAAAAGAGAGCATTAATTTCTTGTTGATAAAATGTAAGAAATAATAATCTTCTAACAAACTAACAAAATCAAAATGTAATATAAGTTTATCGATTATTAATTAATTCATTTTTTTTTGGGTGAAAGTAACGGTTTAGCTCATTGTCATGTCGAGGATGTAACTAACTAGATTTCCGTATAGCGTTGGGTGAACTCAAAACGCTTCAATAATTCCGATAACAAGACACAACCATGATAGGCACTTGTTTTGAAGAAATCTCAGCATATTGTATTTATATTCTTGTGTACAAAAAATATGAGGTAAGACATTAGACAATTAACACTCATCTCTAATTATTGAGGGGGACCAGGACTTTTTTCATACTCTCCGTAGCTTCATCGTCTAATCTTCTTGAACACATGCAGTCCATCTCATTTCATGTAGACCAGACCATGTAACTATATAAATCATAAGATTAGCTTTAAAGGGTTGGCAAAACTTGATCTTATGACATCACCATGAGGTGGAACCAATGACATTTAGCCAACAACTAGGGATTTTTTGTGTACCTGTGTTCAATTATGGAGATTTTGAAATGCCTAATATCTCTATAAAAGTTGCACTTAATGTGATTAAAGACCAACTTAAACATCAGTAGCATACAGATCAAATCCTTTTGGGGTCAAGTCCTAATTATTTTTATGTATCTCATCAGTGTCATAGCTTAAATAAATATAACATGACACATCCATAATTTTCTGGTCCTCCACCTCCCATTTGTTTTTTATTTATTTATGTTTCTTCTTCTTATAAGAGTCGTCTCCATGAATGTCTCTGTCATATAGGCCTAATTAGTCAACAGTCCATGGTGCTTATCTTTTCCAAATCCCTATTTGAATGAGATCAATCTTTTAATTAGGCAATTATTTGACAACTCTAGTATATTCCACTTTGTAAGATTACACTTCACTAACTAATGTACTGCCAAGGACTATGGACCCATTCTCTCTCTCTCTCTTCCTCAAAGTTTTAGAGCTTCATTGATCGGTAGGGACTAAAAGAAGAACCAGGGAGAAACCAAGTAGTTTACAACTAATTGGCAAGTTTAAGTCCCGGTGATTCGAACCCTCGCATAGTGGTTAAAACACTAGCTAATGAACCTCACTGTAATCTGCAAAGCAACCATCACCCACCCTTTCTGGTTGCACCTAAGTCAAACATGTAACTAATAGAATTTCGGCTCATTTGTTAGTTGATTGCAAACCTGACCGAAAAGCTTAAACTCGGCGTGGTTTGTTTCGAACTTTTTATACGATGCGTTAATTTTTTATTTGTGCAGTGGATGTGGGATGACTTTTGCTGCCCTGACATATGGATTCCAACACTCCACATATGATCTATAGTTTTCTATTGGGTGCTTTTCTGGGTGAAGTACTTGCTAGCTTCCTCTTTCCCATGTATTTTTTTATGTAGCACTGGCTAGCTACTCTATTTTCCTCAATTTTTTTGAATTTTTTTTCTGCTGTAGCACTTGATGACTATTTTTCCTAAAACATGCTCTTGGGATCTTTGGCCTCTGATATCACTATTCGAATTTGGACTCCCAGAAGTTGGATTCAAAGATGACCCAAAAACTTAAACTCAAACTCAGAGTAGTTTGTTTCAAACCATGCAAGACCACTTTCGCCACTCTCACTTGTGTGTTCCAACAATATAGAGTTGCCATACTTTAACTAGGTGCAAATTTTGTGAAGATTTCTGCTTAAAATCGATAGAGGCAATCCGGCTCTTCAACACTCGTAGATATCCTTCTAGTTTTGAGCTGCAAAATTGACCCCTCCAATCCAAGAGGTGTACGACCCAAAAAACAAAAAACAAAAAATCGAAAAAGGTGTGGGATCTTTGTAGTCCACACTGATGCAATTATGGACCCACTCATTGTAGGAGTAATACCAATAATATGACTTAATAGTCTGACTTAATAATCATCGATGAGTAATGTTATATTGACTAAATTTTAAAACTAAATTTATAACTTAAATAATATGATAATATGTTATTTAGAGTTTTTATTGGGATCCAAATGACATGACATTTAAAAAAAAAATTCAAGTCAGCTACCATTTCATTTAGACTCTAAATTTAATCCCAAACGGTCTGCTGAACTTCCTTAGTGGGTCCATGTCACTCACTTTTCATTTACTCCAATCCAAGAGGTGTACGACCCAAAACAAAAAAAAAATCGAAAAAGGTGTGGTGTCTTTGTAGTCCTCACATTTGCAATTATGGACTCACTCATCGTAGAAGTAATACCAATAATATGACTTATAATAATTCTACACTGATCATATTTTAAAATTAAATTAAGAATTCAAATAAAATAACAGTTGATTTAGACATTTTTATTTGATGCTATGTTATTTGGGCCTCAATAAAGACTCCAAATAATATGCTGTCATGTTGTTTGAATTCTTAATTTAGTCTCTAAATTTAATCAGTGTAACATTATTATATGACTTAATAATCGACTTAGTCATCGATTCGCATGGTCCGCTGAACTTCCCTTGTGGGTCCATATCACTCACTTTATAATTTATGTATTCAAATACTACATTTATATAATAAAATAATTTACAATTCAAATCTCAAAAAAGATAAACAACATGACTTTTGCTTTTCGCAATTGAGATCACTTTAAATTTTATTTTAAAGTTAATTTAATGACTAATATTAACACTCTAAATTTAATAAAAAAAATAAGACCCAACAGATGTATTTGGAATGACTTTTTAAAAGTACTTATAGGAATTTTTTTATCATATATATATATTTTTTAAAAAATAGTGTTTGAAACCGTCTCACTACTACCTTTACCACCATCGTAGCCACCTCCAGTGCCACCATCGTCGCCGCCGCCGCCACTACTACTACCACCATCACCATCACCACTGCCACTATCACTACCACCGCCACCACTACCACCACCACCATCACCATTGCCGCCACGCCACCACTATCATCACCGCCACCGCCACCGCCGCCCCCACCACCACTGCCGCCATCACCACCGCCCTCGCCGCCACCACCACCGTTATCACGGTCATTGCCACCCACCACAATTATCATCGTCTCCTACCACTACCACTGTCGCCCACTACCTCTCACCTCCACTACAAACCAATACTTAAATTCATTTATCTCTTTTTTATGTTTGTGATTTGATGATTTTAAATATAAATGTAAATGTGTTTATTGTTTACTATTTTTTATTACTCTGTGCCTTCAGGTACAACCAATAACTAGTCATTTTATAAAGTTCCCACATCATTATTCTTATTATATTCATTCATTTTATGTGTACTATATCGTAGGATTGAGATGCTCTCCATTATACTTTCATTAATGATAAGTCATCTATCATTTATATAATTGAGACTCATTATTTTTAAGTAGGTCCTATTATTGAGTAAAATACTGTGTAAAAATATAACAGAGAGAATTTGAATCTATATTCGTGTTAGTACCCAAACACAACAATTAATTTCTATAAGAAGCATACAGAGTATAGCATCATTTCTCAAGCTTATCCCCAAGAAACCTAAACTTGCTAGGTGATTTGAAAAAGCCAAAAAAAAAAAAAGAACATGGGTTCACTAACTCTGCCCAAGCTTCTTGTTGTAGACTTCACCAAAGAAAACTTGAAGCCTGGTTCAAATTCTTGGTCCTCTGCATGCACTAATATCAGGACTGCCCTAGAAGATCATGGCTGCTTCATAGCACTGTATGACAAAGTTTCTGCTGAGCTTCACAAAGCAATTTTTCATGCAGCAGATGAGTTGTTTGACCTCCCCACAGAGATCAAGGTCCAAAACATCAATGAAAAGCCTTACCATGGCTATGTTGGGCAGATGTCCTATGTTCCTCTTCATGAAGGCTTGGGAATTGATTATTCGACGACACTTGAAGGTGTAGCAAGTTTTACAAAGCTGATGTGGCCTAGTGGAAATGATTCTTTCTGGTACAATTTGAACTTCAATATCCCCCCCAAGTATCTGTAGGAGGTAAAAATCTGTACCTCCGGGAAGTGAAGTGATGAGTAGCTCCTTGAGTCCTTTGGGATCTACAAAACTAATAAACTACCTACAAATGGTAGTGCACCGGCTAAAGACACTCTGATTCTTATGTCAGTAATATTTTCCGATGCTTTACCCATTAGCAATAATTGGAGTGTCTTTGGCCAGTTGCATATCCCAAAGGAGCCAAGGACGTACTCGATTGTTCGCCAAGGTACATGTTTTTGCCCGGATAGTCTTTGTATGAATTTTGAATTATATTTGCAAACATTAATTTTTTTCTTATTTTTTCCATGGTTAGTGAAAGTTCACTTCATTTGTGAAGACAAATTACCAAAGCTTAATCCTTTAGTAGTTGTAGTTCAAGATTCTCCACAACTCTAGAGGCCATATAATATTATCATAGTGCCTTTGGTTGGCTCCCTCGTTCGTTAGTTTTACAAATTCTAGAGGAGCAAAGGAGTTAGTAATCATCCCTGGATATTTTTATGAATTTTAACATTACACTTGCCTATCTTAACTTTATTCTTATTTTTTTTCCTTGGTTAGTGAAAGTTCACATTCATTTGCGAAGACAATAGCAGAACTAGATAAAATTGTGATAAGAATGTTATTTGAGAGCTATAGTGCGGAGAAATACAGTGACTCTCACATTGAATCAAGCACCTATCTTCTTCGATTTCTGAAATATAGAGCGCCTGAGATTACGGAGACTACTATGGCTTTTCCCTCCCATACAGACAAGAGCTTCTTGACCATACTCTATCAGAATCAAGTTTCTGGTTTGGAAGTAAGAACAAGGGGGGGCGAGTGGATTAATGTTGAGTTCCCTCCTTCATCATTTGTTGTCATGGCTGGCGATGCTTGCAAGGTGATTACTATCTTCTGGTTAATATTTCAAAGAAAAATGTCAAAAAGGGGAAATTACACTTTGCAAGCACAAAATTTCTTTTCAAAAACTAATTCTTTTATATAAATTAGATGTTTAATCACTTCTATATGATTTTTTTGGTTTTGTGTAGAAAGTGTGGGGACTTTTTTGTGATTTGTACTCATGGTCTTTAATGCTTTGACATTATGTTAATTATCCCAAGAACGTCAGGGCATAAGAGGCATGGTGACTTGGTAGCATCCTCACCTTGTTCCTACTTATGTCTGAATTGGAACTTATGAGAATGACAAAAAAGGCGTTGTGGTATGATTTTGCATATGCTTCTTATCATTCCACCACTCCCCCCCCCCAAAAAAAATAAAATAATAAATAAATAAATAAAACATAGAAATACAACATAATTCAAGGCATGTCAGAAAGCTTCTTTAAGTATATAAATTCTCAGAGAAACAAAACTACCAAGTCTAGAGGAAATGTTATCATAATCCAAGAGACGGGTTCAGATACCATGATATGCTATCTAGTGAATAGCGGTTATGTTTTTTGCAATGCAATAGTGATTATGTTAGTTGTATACAAATACACGTATAGAGATAATTATTAACAAATGGCTGTTTTTTGCTTGGCCTAGGCATGGAGTAACGATAGGGTACTTTCTCCTAACCATCGAGTCACAATGGACATGAACGGGAGAGAAACACGATACACTATCGCTCTGTTCTCGTTTCTCAGGAACATGGTGCAAGTACCAGAAGAGCTCATTGATGAGGACCACCCCATGCAGTTTAAGCCATTTGTCCATGTTGATTTACTCAAGTTCTACGATACCGGTCACGGCCGGAGATCGCAAAACATTCTCAAGGACTTCTGTGGTGTTTGAAACTTATGCCACAGCTGTGTATGTTCATTTGATCCTTGCATGCCTAATGTTGCTGTGTGTGTGTGTTTTCTGTTGTGTAAAATAACAAGACTCTCTGGTTTCTTAGCTTATTGCCTTGCTTATGTCATGTAATGTAACAGCTTCATATGTAAGTTTCTCTTTGTTAGTGTGTGAAGTGTGAACCGTAAGAATAAAATAAAGTTTTTTAAAGCTTCTTAGTTTTCCTATAAAATTTTATCAATTTAAATATTGTGATTTATTAGTTTTTCAGTTACATCATGATGTTTATTTTGAATTCATTACAGTTATATATAACACCAATTAATGTTCCAATTACAAGGTGTAATTAATTGGCTATAAAAGGAGATGTGAGGAGGCTGTTTTGGAGATGAGATTCTACCAACTACTTCGAAAACCTCTGTCCAAAATGTCACCTGAAAGTCTAGCAGAAAAGTTTTCTGTCGACAGCCCTTCGGTTTATTCCTACTGTTACTTATCTATATAATAGAATAGAGAATTTGAATCTTATACCCAACATATTTTCCTTCGTCACATCTAACCATCACCAACCCCCTAACCCAATCAATAATCCAGAGCAACGTCTCCCTGGCAAACACAGAGCAACGTCTCCCTGGCAACACAGAGCAACGGCTCTCGCCCTAATGTCCTCTCTCTCTCACCTCCTCCCTCTTTACTCTCATCTTAGTCTCTTCACTTCTCACACACTCTATGTCAGACAGACAGGCGGCGAGTCACTTCCCCAAATCCATGCCGAAGACAGCACTCAGACAGCCGCTCAAATCTCTTTTGTGCAAACACCTTCCCCCTATCCCTCTTCTGTGCAGACACCATCCTCTCCCCTCCCCTCAATCACCACCCCTCTCTCTCTCTCTCACGCGGGCTAGACATTAGTGCCCAGCCCCAACAGCACTCAGACAATTGCTCTTTAACAGTTCTCTCATTCTAGAACTTATAGGTACGATTCTCTTTCTCTTTTTATGCAGTTGACTTGGTTTCTGAGTTTATTTGGTTTTGCTCATGCGGGTTTCTAAATTTGGTTTGGAATCTATTTATAGTGGTTTAGAATTCTCAGGAGGAGAAGCCTCACCTCACCTCACTACTAGATTTTCCTCAGATCCTTCGTATTTCACACTTGCCACCATCATAAATTCATAGCAATTACCATTTGCTGCCTAATCTATTAATTGTGGAGAGAGGGAGAGATGCATTTGGGGTTCAATCTCTTGCGTGGCTTGAATTAGTGCATGGTTTAATCGACCCTTTGTTTGAATTTTTTGTTATATGTTGATTTCATCTTTTTTTTTGGAGTTTGAATTTTGTTTGGGAATTAGTATTTGATTGTTATCAATATGCAAAAGATTTCAATATTTGATATGTTTTTGTGGGCAATTTGATAGTTCAATTGCCTCTTGGAAGCAAAGCTATTATGTGTAAGTAGATATTGAAGAAAAAACTAAAACCTGATGGAAGTATAGATAAGTATAAAACTAAATTGGTAACTAAAGGATTTACACAAAAGAAAGGGATAGATTACTTTGTTACATATTCGCTTGTGACTAGTATAACTACCATTAGAATACTAGTAACCCTAGCATCTATCCATAAGTTAGTAATACATCACATGGATGTTAAGACCGCTTTTCTAAATCAAAATTTAGATGAAGAGATATATATGGAACAACTTGAGGGTTTTATAGTAAAGGAACAAGAGATATAAAAGTTTGTATGTTAGTGAAGTCTTTATATGGTCATAAGCAAGCTGAAAAACAATGACATGAGAAGTTTGATAAAGAGATATGGGAGTATGGTTTTAGAATTAATGAAAGTGATAAATGTTTGTACTACAAGGATTGTGTTATTGGTTATGTAATTTTATGCCTCTATGTAGATCATATACTGATTTTTGGGACAAACTTGGAGGTAGTTGAGGATGTTAAATCTTACTTATCCACTAAGTTTGCGATGCCCCATTTCCACGGGGTCCCGATGAACCGGTTGAACACCCATCAACCCATAGAATAACCCGTGATACTGCTTAACCGATAATACATAGTGATACCCCATTCACCGGCGTTCATAACATTATTAAAATCTGGGCAAAGTCTCATTTGTATTGGAAATTCTACTCAATAAACAACTTGTGCATTTATACAATATTGGCAACATCATGTTCATTCATCAAAATTCAATCCCATAATATTAAATACTACCCATAACTGTCATCTATGCATATATTCATTCATAAAAGAATAAATGTCCAAAAGAGTCCAATGTACATGCCTTAATTCAAACACAAATTTTGTTTAAAAAATTTATACAAGATCAATGTAAATGGAAACAAAAAAACTACAACATTAAAAGTAAAAGCCACAGGTCAGCTTTATCATCAAAGCGGGCCAATGTTAGGGCCTCTTGCAAATGTCTGTTCGGTACTAGAAATATATTCTTATAAAGGGTAAGCCACGCTCAATAGGGTATCTCCTATGGAGATCACCTCCCAACCCACATACATATGAAATGTCACACACAAATATCATGTCAAACATCCATTCAAATATATGAATTTCATAAAAGAATACCACAATTACATCCATGCTATGAGATGAAAACTCACGCATGCAATGCAACACCAAGTTCTATCGGCTCCCATAACACAAGCTATACTATGCGTATGTATCCGGGCATGCTAAGCTCCCGTCATTGATGTTAGACATGTAATGAATATTTTATAAAACATTATGTCTTTCTGGGGTAGATATTTATGGAGCTCTACCAACGGTCACTCAACCGACACAGAGTCTATGGACTTCCACCAACAGTTCCTCATACACTGACACACTTTATGAGCTCAATACCAATGAGAGTGTAAATCCAAAATTATTAGGTCTTGCACCAAAGGGAAAATCTAACCCTTCTTGTTAACCCTGACACTCTTTTCAATGCAAACCCGTGTGAATCAGTCAGACTTAAGTTCAACTTTCTCGAGCCCACAGATCAACCCACTAAGAATGGTGTTTGATTAAAAATATGCACACACACCACACTCATATCGGATGTCTACGAATGCAATATTATCTGTGCATATATAAATGTAATATAATATTGTAAATCATATCATCATGTGCATTATATCATAAAATATATAATAAACATGTCCATTTTCCAAAAAGAAAATTCGAAGCATGTCATATATGATTTCAATCCAAATACAAAACCCAAATAGATCTAGAAATAGGTTTTAACATGCTCATCTACTCATACTCAACGCCCTATATACACTAGGTGTGGGCTAACACATGAGATTACATCTCTATGGCCCTACACATTTCATATTGCAACACTAGGTTGAAAGTAAACTTAGATAGGAGGGAAACCTACCTCTTGTAGCATGAGCAACGTAGGAAAACTCCTTTGAATGCCCAAACAAAGTTCTCCCAAGCCTAGATCAAAACTCCTCTGTTTCAAAAATTTAGGAAAAAGGTTCGAAGTTGGTATAACGCGTAGCCTTTGTCGAGTGGGGCGTCTTTTATTCTTGCTCTATCTCGATCCAATGGAAGGATCTCCATAGATCAAAGAAAGAAGTGGGGAAGAAAATGAAGAAGCTCCTTTCTCTCTTTCTCTCGGTCTCTTGGTCTCTCTCTCTCTTGGATGATCTGTGTGGAGAAGAAGCTTGGAAGACTAAGTCTTTCCTTTTTAAGTTTCTATTCATACTTAGCTCATATTGAGCCACTTTTCAATTTCCTATCGGTCGAATTTAATCTGAACTAATCTTATTTCGCCACTTATCATGTTTAATATAATTTTATAAGATTTAGTTTAAATTATATTATAGGTTCCACAATTAAAATTTGATTGTAGAATTTTAATTGCGTGATAACCAATTGCATCGTAGCACTAAAAAGTTCAGCTGTCTAAGAATTCGATGAAATTGATTGGCCAATCCAATTTTGCTAGATGAATCCAACGGTAAGGTCCGTTTCATCATTACAATTCTATAAAAACATTGGGTTTTTAACCCGTGCTTTAATTACTAATTACCATTTTACCCATTTAATTAAAATTTTAATATTTTCAGGTATTACATTATCTCTCCTTGAGGGAATTTTGTCCCTCAAATTAAACACATGCAACATGTAACATGGTTGCTTATTATACCAAGATATGATTACAAGAAATTTACCTTCATCCTCAAAGAGGAATTGATAGATAATGCAAATAGTGTTCTCGTGCTCCCATGTCGTCTCCTTCATACCACGATGCTACCATAACACCTTCACTAGTCTCACAGTCTTGTCACGCAAAACTGATTTTAGCTATCCACGATACACGCCGGTCCCTCGTCGACGATCTCATCTGTATCAACAACCAGTTCACCCTAATTCACCACATGTGTAGGATCTGGGGTGTACTTCTGGTGCATAGACACAGTGCATGAACACCCGATAGATTTGGAGATAACCTATAAGCAACTGTACCATCCCTTTTGAGTACCTCGAAGGGCTTGATATACGTTAGCGACTGCTTTCCCCACTTCCCAATTTAGAGCACTCACTTCTTAGGCATGACATTCAAGAAGACAAGATTTCCAACCTTTAACTCCAGAGATCTCTGTTATTTGTTAGCGCAGCTCTTCTATTGGCTCTAAGCCGTAAGAAAATGCTTTCGTATCATGTCTACCTTCTTTAATGTATCCCTGGTCAAATCCAAGGTATGCATACTTAAGATGGGATGACAATGGCTTCTACTCTAAGACGAATTTTTGTTCATTTGATGAAAAAATCTTCTTGTCTTGGTGTGGAAGTTTTTCAAATGTCGGGGTCCATTTTTCTACCCCTTTCAAACTCTCCTCCTCCTTTTGCACATCAACCTCCTCTATCTCAACATTCTCCTCGTATCCCAACTTGAAGGTGCTCATTAGTTCAAAGTGTTCCTCCACCAATGTGTCAATCCGGTTGACCTCATGTGCCTCTTCATCATTC